GCTGCCGACGGAGGAGGAGTCTCTCCCCTTCGGCGCCGACGGGAAGGTGAGTCCTGGGGCCTCCGGCGGGGCCCCGGTGGCGGCGGGGCGGGCCCGCGGCCTGGCCGCGGCCCTTGAGGAGAGGAGCGGAGGGCCGCGCCGCCCCTGCCCGCCGGCCGCGCTCGGGGGAGAGCGGGGGGACGACCCCCGGAGGGCTCCCCAGGGAGGGGAGAGGCGGCCGGGCTGGGCTGGGGGAAGGCGCCGGAGCTCAGCTGGGCTCGTAGTGGGTGGAAGTGACCGCCATGAGATGTTTATTCCCCCCCCCGCCCTCCTCCGTCCCCGATGAGTGCAAGGGCCTGGAGGGAGCGCTGCCGGGGCGGCCCTGTCCCGCGGCGTACAAGTGGCCGAGTTTCGCCAAAGCAAGCAGGCAGGCAGGGAAGGGAAAAGACGAGCTCTTCTAGAAAAGACAAGTGCCCCCTCCTCTTCCCTGCCTCCCCCCCAGGTTGACAGCAGCGCTCAGGCTTTAGGTGATGCTGGACTGTTCTGAGGTGTTTACTGACATCCCCCCACGTTTATAGAACCATAGAATGCTTATAGTTGGAAGGGACCTTAAAGATCATCCAGTTCCAACCCCCCTGCCCTGGGCAGGGACACCTCCCACCAGACCAGGTTGCTCCAAGCCCCATCCAGCCTGGCCTTGAACCCCTCCAGGGATGGGGCAGCCACAGCTTCTCTGGGCAACCTGTTCCAGTGTCTCACCACCCTCACATTACAGAATTTCTTACAAATCTCTCATCAAAATCTCCCCTCTTTCAATTTAAAACCTTGTCCTGTCACTACACTTCCTGACAAAGAGTCCCTCTCCGGCTCTCCTGTACTTTCCATCTCTCCATCTTTATGGATGGAGGAGCACCAGGACAGGCACCTGGCAGCTGGTTCAGGCCAGCAGAAGGTCTGCGTGGTGGCACCGGTCACACGACGTTCGCGGTCCTTCCTGCTCCGCTTATCTCATCGACACCACATGCTGCTGGTTGGGCAGCTTGCTGCCTGCATTCTGGGCTTTAAGCACAGAAACTGTTCAGGCCTGTTAGCACGCGGGCTGGCTTCAGCTGCAGAAGGAATACCAGAATTATGGGGACCTTCTCTCATTGTAGCCCCTCAGCAGCCTCGTCTTTCAGCACCGTGCTGCTTCTGTCATCTTTTGGATGAAAAGCACCGCGTGGTGACATTGCAAGAAGTGCTGGGGTGGGAAGCTAACTTTCCTAACTTGCTCCACTGTGAATAAAGGAGAGCCTTTAATCTCAGCTCCGTCTTTCCCTGCTTGTGGTGATCAGAAATTACCTTGACTAGGGTGGGAGGAGGATATGGTGATGCCCAGCAGTGACAGCAGCATCCTCCCCGAGCGTGGTAAGGATGAGCAGGACAGCATCAGCTCACCATCAGTCCCAGGCAGTGAAGGTTCTCACTGGTTGTTGCAGCGGAGGTTTGTGAAGTTGTGTGTGGCTAGGGACAGCACACAAATGAGAATACTTTGGGGGATTGGTATCTTACTGCTAATTGCAGCCGTCAGAAGGAGAACTTGGCACTGTTAAAACTGTTAAAAAAGCAAGGGTGTCATCTTCAGTGAAATCTGCTTTGTTTCTACAAAAAAAATCCCTGGTAGTATGCTCAGTGCTGGTAAAGGTAATTGTTTCTGTGTGAAAGAGAGCTGTGATTTCTTTGTTCCTTTGTATCTGGCTTAGTATGTATAAAACATGCAAGTGTGACGAGTTGAACTATGAAGACAGAGAGGAGATGGTAGAACAGCTATAGCTATATATTGTTTTTTTACCAATTAAACAACATACCAAGAGCTTTCTTCAAAGGCCTTCTGTAGGCCAGTCATCCTCCTTACGTACCTGCTTTAGATCCCACACTTCATGCCCATTTGTTTTAAAGAGAAAAGAAGCCTTCATTTACTGCTGATCTTGACTACAGGTTTGCAAAGTGAGAACTGGTATCAGCGGAAGGTGAACTTAAATGTTTTTTTTAGATAATGCTAGCTGTGTTGCTGAATAGTTCAACTTCAATTCACTTCAGATTTAATTCTTGAATGAATCCAAATTCAGAGATGTTCTTCTGTGGCAGAGCTGAAATGAGTCGAGATTTTCTAGCCCTATATTCACGTATGAAACGTCTGTTCTGCTCTGCCGTAGATGAGTGTGCTATTTTACAGTGGGTGCAAATGTGGTTTTTTTCTGGCACCAGTGGTGGATGATGTTCTTTGTTGCCGTGTGGCAGTTGGCAGCTATTTGTGCAGCTTTGTTCAGGAGATAGCTTTGAGCACCTGTGTAAGCTGTGTGTTTGATAAAGGCAGCGTCTGGCCTTTGTTACGTTCAAAAGTATGAAGCTCCTCTGGAAAAAAAAAAATAAAATCATCTTCTGTACCGCATTAAAGTGATGTAACTACAGCAACTTTCAGTGGGCTTTGAATTTTTTCTAATTCTGTGCATTTCATAGGAGAAGGCAGATGCAAGTGTACGTTTTCTTTTATTTCTGCATCTGCAAAATCTGAGGAATCGTCCTACATATTTCTGGCATAGAACACAGCTATAAGTATATTTATATGTATTTATATACTTTGCAGTGTTTGCAGCCAGTCCTAGTTCTATCCTGACTTCTATGAGACTTCCTGATGAGTATTTTGGGGTGCTATTTTTTTGCGGCTTTTGGTTTGTGGGGATTTTTTTTTTTTTTGCATATAACAGGCTCCAGTCCTGTCAGAGAAATGTCTTTGCCTGCCTAAAGCCCCAGTGAAGACGAAAGGACTTTCCACAGGTTAGGGAGTCTCTTCTCTAAACCGCTATACACAGCAGTGCAGGTTTCCTGAAAATGAGAGCAGCTTTCCGAAGCCCTCGACACCCTGCGTCATCTCTTCCCCTCCCCATCATCTGGGGAGCACTGGGTGACTCAGGTAAGAGGTGTGAGGTGTGCGGGGCTCTGCCGTTGTCATGGAAGGCAATGCATTATTAATCCCTCCCTTTGATTTCATAAGCTGCCAGGGTTGCCATCTAAAACTCATCCGGCTGATAAAAAGGAGGAGAAGCTCTTCAAGTCGTTGCCTGGAATGTGAGACAATGGGGACAAAGTGCCGCATATGGAAGCGGGTGTTTGTAGGTGTGAGGTACAGCTCAGGAATCCAGAAGGTATGGGGGCAGGAGAAGAGAAAACAAAGTTTGGAGCTGCTGATTTGCCTTCGTAAAAATAGTGGCAGTAAACACTGCAGTTATCATGGTGGCCCTCTGCACATGTAGTTTGAAATCCACTTTTTTTTTTCACTAGATTTCTTCACTGTGACAGTATCATGGACTTGAATTACCTCTGTAATTTGTCTGAGAAAGCTGAAGGTAGTAATTCCTCAGACAGCGTTAATTCTAGATTAATAAGAAGCATAATTTTAAATGTAAGTCTGTGTTTAAAAAAATGACAGATCTTTCAATTGAATATATACCCTGTAGCCCTTTTCCTTTTGATGTGGATCCCATAGCGATACCTTAGCCTGAAAAAGCACCTATAGAAGATTTCCCAAAGGGGTCCAAAAGTTTTCAAAATGGAAATGTAAATGGTCAGGGAAGCAGAGAACTGAATAAACAGCTGTAGACTCAGAACAAAGCATATTCCCTAGTTCACGGGGAAAATCAGTTTGTCTCTTAAATTTAATTTAATTTTTAATTCACTGTAATTGTTTACTGGGGGATGTATTAATGTTTGAAAAGCAGATGTTCTTCTCATAGTTTTCCCCTGCATTGTTGGCAACTCTAGTTATAAACTCACCTATTAAACGTGGCAATTATCAGGGTGGGAGACCGAGAATGGGGAGGTCTGCACAGGCTTGCAGAAAGCAGGGGCAGCCAGTTGTCCTGGCTCAGAAACTGTTTATCAAAACCTTTGTGTGGTAAAGAGCTACAGATCCGTAATGGATTTCCTGGGGAAAAAAGGTGAGGAGAGCTTGCTGCTAAGGGGTGGCGATGGCTTGTTCATGGATCTGGCTCCATGGGTGATTTCGCGGGAGGTGATTCTGCCCCTCTGTTCTGCTCTGGTGAGACCCCACCTGGAGTCCTGTGTCCAGCTTTGGAGTCCTCAGCACAGGAAGGACATGGACCTGTTGGAGACAGTCTAAAGGAGGGCCACGAAGATGGTGAGAGGGATGGAACATCTCTCCTATTGAGGACAGGCTGAGAGAGTTGGGGTTGCTCAGCCTGGAGAAGAGAAGGCTCCGGGGAGGCCTTATGATGGCCTTCCAGTACCTGAAGGGGCTACTGGAGAGATGGGGAGGGACTCTTTGTCAGGGAATGGAGCGATAGGACGAGGATTAATGGATTTAAATTGAAAGAGGGGAGATTTAGATGAGATATGAGGAAGAAATTCTTTGCTGTGAGGGTGGTGAGACACTGGAACAGGCTGCCCAGAGAAGCTGTGGCTGCCCCATCCCTGGAGGGGTTCAAGGCCAGGCTGGATGGGGCTTGGAGCAACCTGGTCTGGTGCCCAGGGCAGGGGGGTTGGAACTGGATGATGATCTGTAAGGTCCCTTCCAACTCTAACCATTCTGTGATTCTATGACTCAACCGTTCAATGATTCTATGACTTGGGTTGCCCACCATCCTTGGAGCCACCACAGCTCTGCGGCTACGTCCACAGTGTAATCGGGTGTGATTTAGGAGCCACCTTCACACCGGTGACTTGGGAACCAAAGGCAGGCTGATTTTACCTACTCATCCAGGGGAAGGTGGGAGCAATCCCGTGCCGAGGCAACCTCATGTGGATTTTTTGTGTTTGCAAGAAGAGCACCCCTGGCATCAAGATGTTGTCACATCCCAGCCCCAGCACTGAAATTGGGTTGAGACTTAATGATAGGTCACTAGGATGCCCAGACGGTAACTTCTTTTTTGGTCCAGTTCTTTCTTGATAAGTTTTTTTCTGACTTGCCATGATGTTTTAATATATTAGTAGAAGGTTGTGTGTTCTGACGAACGTATGCAATGTACCTCATTAGGCTTTGCAGGGAACTCCTTGTAGGGAACCTGTTTT